AGGCACAGTCCTAGCAAAGCCGGGCCTCACTTGCGTCCCTGGAAGATGTCCCCATCCACGCCCACGCAGACGTCCAGCTGTGGCAGCTCCCGGTTCTTGCGCATGTGGGTGAGGATGGCGGCCAGGCCGGTGGCACAGAGGCAGGCGGCACGCGTGACCACGGCCAGGCACACCTGCTGCACAGTGAAGCAGTCCAGGTCACTCGGCTGCAGCCCCAGCTTCTGCAGCAGGCACTGGGCTGCGGCCAGCCCGCCCTGGTCCCTGCAGCGGAGAGAGCACAGGCCTCAGGCGGGCACGGGGCACAGACCCCCCTGCTGAGGCCGGGCAGGCTGGCGGGGCGCAGCCCCTACTCACTCCGAGATGTTGAGGACTTCCAGAGCTGTCACCGTGCCCTGGGTGCGCAGCTGCGGGGTGGTGCCGCCGGCGTGCAGAGCCTTGTCTTGGGCCAGCTGCACCAGCAGGAGCCGGGCGATCTCGCCCAGGTACAGGCTGCTGATCATCTTCTCAAACCTGCGGGGGGGAGGGGGGCTGAGGCAGTGGCACCAGCAAAGCACCTTGCCCACCCGGGCTCTCTGCTTGACACCCTGCAGGTCTGCTTCCTGCACAGGGACCTGGCCCCACAGACCCCAGGCCGTGCCCAGGGGACATCCACCCACCCCAGTACCGAGTCCTGACCTGCCCACAGCTCTACCGCCTCCCTCACCCCGCAGGGCCTTGCACCCACCTGTGCTCCCCCTTGTTCAGGCTCCTTGCGTCCACTTGTTCATCGTACGTGGTCAGGATGTCGGCCATGGCCCCGGTGTCCCCAAAGGTGCCCCACTCCGTGTCCACGCACATCCGCCCCTCGTTGTCGTCCAGGCTCTCCACGTACCGCGCCTCCTCCATGAAGCAGCTGTTGGTGCCGGCACCTGCACAGCACAGGGCCGCAGCGAGGCAGATGTGACGGCAGCACCGTGCCGGGAGACCCCCCACCACTGAACCCCAACATGCCGCCGGCACCACTCACCTATGACGAGGCCGACCTCGCAGGGTTTCGTCCCCAAGCTGCAGCCCATCATGGTGGCCACGGTGTCGTTCACCACGACCATGACGTTGATGTCATGGCGCTGGTGGAGCAGAGAGCATGGTCAGCAGCGCCCCCCAGCCCCCCATGCCCCCACTGAGCCCGGCCCCCGCGCTCCTCACCGTCTGCTTCCGGATGGCCGCTTGCAGCAGCTGCCCCACATCTCTGCCCACCACGCCGCTACAGCTGTAGCCCTTGGACCAGGACTGCAGCTCGCTCTGCGGGGACATCAGCACGGGAGAATCAGGGGCTGCGCCGGCCGGCCCACCCTGAGAGCTGGGAAATGCCCCCAGCCCGTGCAGGGCAGCCAGGCCCACGGCACCATGCTCACCATCTCCAGCCCTGTCTTGAGGCAAGGGAAGGGGAAGCAGACACCCAGCTGGTGGCTCGTGGCTGGGATGTGGAGATCGTCCAGGAACTGGCACAGGCTCTTCGCCATGAAGTCAAAGAGCTGGCGGGGAAGGATGGAGGCACAGCCCCAGTCAGCCACGGCTGCTCCACCCTGCCCCATCGCATTGGCAGGGGGTCACCCCCCACCCCCTGCACCCACTTACCTTCTCCCCTTTGCCCTCGCGGAGGTCCTGTGGCACAGTGAAGATCCGATCCTTCAGTTGTGTTTCCTGGCGCCCGGCCAGCTCTGCCCACAGGACCCGCAGGTCACACTCACGCAGCTCCAGCACCAGGAAGCTGCCTCGTTCTGTGGAGAAGGGGCCACGGCATCAAAGCCAGCCTGGAAGGTGGCTGCCCCCGCCCCGCTGCCCCCAGGAGCTGGGATGAGGGGCACAGCCCTGCCCCTTGCCCGCAGCAGCCCAGATCCGACGGGTGCCGCGCGCCAGCGCAGTTGTCTGGAGAGGGCTGGGGGACGGGGGCCACGACTCACCAGTGCCGTCAGGCGTGGAGCGCACGAAAGTGGGCAGCATAGGCACAGGGTGGGCACCTTTCCGGAGCCTCAGCCCGGCCTCCATGGCTGCCAGCATGTGCTGCTGCACATTGCTCAGCTGCTGCAGGGACAGGCTCAGCGGCAGCAGGACTCGCTGCGCCTGGGGGAAGAGCAGGTCAGGCGGGGAGCAGAGCTGGGAACCGCCGGGAGCCCCGACGGGCTGGGGGAGCCTGGCAGGGCCCAGGCACGTAGCCGGCAGTGTCCTGGGGTGCCTGACGGGCCCTGTACTCACCACCTCGGTGACATGACGGCTCCGGCTCTGTGGGTCGTGGGCGGTGCCAGCAGCGCCCACCCGCTGGGCAGGGCACGCAGGGCTCCCGGCTTCCTTGTGCGGCTCCTGCGGCACAGGCTCGTCCTGGCGTGAGCTCATCGGGTCTGCGGGAGGGAGCACGGGTGAGCCCTGCACCACGGACCTGGGGAGCGGCTCGGGGCCTCCGCCCCGCTGCTGCCAGCCCTGGCTGCGGACAGGGGGCACGGGGCCACGCGGCTCATCGGCTGCAATAGCTGCTGTGGCACAGCCCCGCACAGGCCCCGGCAGTGCTGAGCACCAGGCCCCAGCTGGATGTGACCCCCTGGTTCCTGCCCACATGCACAGGCCCGGACTGGGGGTGCAATTAGGCAGGGGTCCCTACACAGCAATCATCTGGGCGGCGCTGGCGGCACCGCCTGGCAGAGCAGCACTTGTTAGTTGTTTTTTTACAACAACTGGAGCCAAGTCAGCTCCGAAGCCCATCACCGGGTCAGAGCCCGATGGGTCCAGTCTGGGCTGCCTGCACATCGCCTCCCTCCTGGACTCTTCAGCCGGCAGCTTCAGATCCTCCCACGTCCACGGCAGCGTCCCACGTGCAGGCCCCACGCCCGGAGGCTTTGGGGTTTGTTGCCCCCAAGTCTCGCTTGCCCTGAGCCCACAGGCCAAAGGAGCAAGCTGGGGAGAAACCCCCATCGCCATAAAGCAGCTGCAGCCAAGATCCTTGTGTTGGGAGGCAGCAGGAGCCGCTCGCAGGGGGCTGCCCGCAGCGCGCCCGACAGGCTCCCACCCTCCACCACATAACGCCATTCGAGGTGATCTTAGCCTGGGACCAGGCAGTGCAGTGACTGCACTTGATGGGAGGGACCAAGAAGTAGAAGCAACACTTCTTTATTAATTAAATGTATTCGTTTTCCCAGCCAAATCAGATTCCAAATCTGAGAGGCAGTCCAGAACCGTAAGTGGTCCCACTACGGGCAAACACCCTCCACCCGCACCTGGGGCTTCAGATGTTTCCAGATCCTTTGGCACGCATCCTACGTGCAGCCCCAAGCCCGCAGGCTTGGGGTTCGGGTGCCCCTGAACGTTGCTTGCCCTCAGAGCAAGCCAGGGAGGAGACTCCCATTTCCATAAACCAGGCTTAAAGCCGCTGCACCTCGGCGGGTCCTGAACCAGACAGAAGCGCAGCTCTCCCCGGATGCGCTTTAGGAAAACTGCCTTTGTGGACACAGACGCATGGTATTTCCCCTGCCAGGTTAAGAACAGGCACTACGCTTGATGGTCTGGGCCAAAAGGCTGGGAAGCGATCAGATCACATACCCCTGCACGCACACGCACACGCACTGACACACATGCACACCGCACCCGCACCTGAAACCCCACCCCGCGGGCGCTCACACCAAGCAGTCCCACAGGGAGAGCAAGGTCCACGACACCATGAACAGAAGAACGTGCCCTGGCATCCCAGGCACGTACGGAGGACCCATCTCCCCCCGCACAGCCCCCTGCCCCAGGCCACAGCCCTTTCAGGGAAACGGCTGCAGCTGTTTGGAAAAGAGGAAGCAGCCCTCTCGGGTCAGCCTTGTGCAAACACACACGGCCTCCTCCCCTT